CTCTCCTGATTAGTTAGTCCTTGAGATCCTGCTTTCCCTTTCCTTGTATTATATCTTTCTATTTGTATTTCTTCTTTGGAGTTCTTACACTAGGGAGACTATACGATATTTACACATGTGTGTCTGGTTTATTTCACTTATGAGTATATTGTATATAATTCACTTTCAAATGAGGATCTTACAAGACACTTCTGATTCATAATTTGCAATCAGAGAGGACTAGATGGAATTTATGAAAAATATAACATATGCTTGCTAATTAGACACAGTAAGCCAGCATGTGCTCCTGCTAGCAACATGGATGTGGTGCTGAGATATGCCCAGTTCACTTGTAAGCAGGACGGTATAGACTACATGCTAAAGCAAAAAGATAAAGGATAAGTCCAGCCAGGCATGATGGTACAGGCTTATAATTCTAGTTACCAGACAGGCTGAGGCAGGAGAATTCCAAGTTTAAAGCTAGCAGACATCACATTAAAAATAAATAAGGCTTCCGGCTACCCTGTGCCCGCTGGACCTCTCAGGACCAAGCCTAGGCACGCCACATGAGTGAGACCCCACCACCACCGTGTTCTCAGGACCCTTCCCCTCCTGAACCCCCCTCAATCCCTCCGAGTGAGTGAGAACTTTTGCTGTGCTCTCAGGACCTGCCAGACCCAGCCCAAGCCCAGGCCTGGCAAGTGTGTGGGAGAGCTTCTGCACTCCACTGCAACCCCTAGATCCCTCTAGACCCACATCAGCCCTGGCATACAGGACTGGGGTGAAACTCTGCAGCTGAAGTCACTGCAGAAAGACTAGAGGCCAAAACCACCCAACTAAACCAGGAGCAGAACAACTTGCCAAAGGGCACAACAGGTTCACTTCCAAGGGCTGCAACAGGAAGGAGCTGAGCACAGCACCCAGACCCAAGCCAAGCACAACTGGATGAACTCAAACTTAATAGATCTGCACCCAAATTTCAGGAGGTGCTAAGGTTATAACTGCACCAAAGCTCTACACCAAAGGTCAGAGGACAGCGCTATACAAAATGACAAAGATAAGGAGCAAAATGCAATCTCAGGCCCGGAGCCCATTCAGAACAAGGGCAGAGGATACTAGCAGAGAAGAAATTGGGAATCACCCAGCTGAAATGTCTGAATCAATAGCATCTGAAGAAAAGAAATAACTGCAGAAAGGTACAGAGGAACTCAGATCAGAAATAAAAAAAGAAATCTCTGAATTAATAGTGTGTAATGTAAAGAATCAAATGCAGAAACATATAGGGGAAATCAGATCAGAAATAATCTCTGTAGTAAAAGAATTAACTGCTTCTAAAGAAGACACTAATAAAAAAAATAGAGGACATTAGAAAAATGACAGAATCCTTGAATGAGCAATACAGGAAAGAAATAGATCGCATGAAGCAGAGTCAAAGAGATATAGAGGAACTTAAAATCTCTATAACAAGCTTGCAAATCTGTTTGAGTGAAAGTGAAGATAAGAGTTTCAGATCTTGAAGACACTGTTGCAGCTAGTGAAAAGGTAAGGAAAGATCTCTTAAAAACAACTAGGATGCAGGAAAAAATAATTCATCGCCTGCAAGACAATGCAAAGATGAACAACATGAGACTAACAGGCATCAATGAGAAAGGAGTCAATACAAATGATATAAAAAGAATATGAACAGAAGTAATAGCAGAAAACTTCCCAAATATGAGGAAACAATCTGATATTCAGGTAACTGAAGCATAGAGAACTCCAAATAACTTCAACCCAAATGAAAACACACCGAGACACATAATAGTCAAGATCCCAGAAATCCAGCACAAGAGCAAAATACTGAAAGCCACTGCAGAAAAGAAACAGATCACATTTAAAGGAAAACTCATCAGAATTACGGCCGACTTCCCTTCACAAACCATGAAGGCAAGAAGAACATGGAGCAGAGTATTTCAAGTCCTCTATGAAAACAAATTCCAGCCCCGACTACTATACCCTGCAAAACTCTCTTTCAAGTTTGATAGAGAAGTGAAATACTTTCATGACAAAGAACTAAAGAATTTCATGATGACCAAGCCAAGCCTACAGACTACTAAAAGATGTTCTAGAGAGAAGCCAAAATGACCAGAATTCCATGAACGAGAACAGAAGAAACCCACTAAATATGGCAAACAAACACAGGAGAAAAAGAAGTAAATAAAGCTGAGGCTATTGTGGCTCAGCGGTAGAGCACTCAGGTTCCATACCTTGTAGGGGTAAGGAGGGTAATCCATACTAAGACCCAAACAGCTCACCTTTATTCTGCTCATACAAACCTAGCAATCTATAATTCAGTCTATGGAAGATTCTGCTGAGAGGTATATTGAGTTTTCTGTTACACAAGCCTAAATATAGAACTGATTGAATGCCTCAGTAACACATATCTGTATGTATTGTGTAGCTACACATAACTAAATATAGCCTGGGGCTAGAATTTTTTTTTAAATAACATATTAAATGATAGTGCATATACAATACCATTGGCTACACCATAGCTAAATTGTGTGTGTGTGTGTATGTGTGTGTGATGGATATTTGGAAAACCTCAAGTTTACCTGTATAAAAAGTTTATGTACTGGAATACAGAACAAATGTAGCTCCCCAGAGACTGTGTTTCACTGTAACTAATTGTTCAACTATGTACTAAACTACATACGAACTGTGAAGGCCAAGCTTACCTGTCAAATTGACAGGCCTGTGAACCACTCAGGAAATTCTGAGTCTGGGCAGGTCATGGAGGCCATGCCTGGGTGCTGTATCTGGCCAAGCTCCCTTCCCTAGCACAGCTCCCTGCTCTGCGTCCCATGAAGTAAGCAGCTTGATCTGCCCGGCCCAGCTCCCATGCCTTGGCCTTAGAACCAGCTGACCATGAGCTGAATCCTGTGCAACCATGAGCCAAATAAACATCTTTTAAATTGCAGGTGCCTGGTATTTTCCCCAAAAATGGGAAAGCTAACTGATACCTAAGTATTCTTTTGCTTTATGCATTTCATGGCAAAATCAAATCAACTGAAATCAACAAATATCAAAAATAAGAAAGAATAAAAGGCAAGCTAGAGTATCTAAATACTTTTCTTATTAACATATCAAATATCACATGTTCAGATCACATTAGAATAGTTCTTTCCTTTATAAACTTTTAAGCTGTTATATTTTTTTCTTCTACATTAGTCTTATTTTTACTTTTTCTTAGTAAACATGGTGTAACCGTGTCTTCTAACTATGTAGAGTTCAGGAGGAAGTAAATCCCCACAGCTGTTTGATGCCTGAGAATATGAATACTTAGCAGGCAGATGAAAGAAGAGAAAGGCTCAAAAAGGAAGATCAAGAGAACAGTGATTGTGAATTTCTGCAGGCTAACATTTACCTCTCTCAATAAAGGAGCTTTGTGCTCATTATATCCCAGGACTCATCTTGCCTTCAGCTTATAGTAAACTGACAATTGCCTTATCATTTCTACTCCAAATTAAGGATCAAAGTTTAAATATATTCTTTCCTTTCTCTATTAAATTGCGATTAAAATTGCCACCTGCCTTACCTCATTCACACAATCACTTCTGCAGGAAAAAGAAGGAACCCTCTGAAGCAGATAGAGTTAACCAGCAAGAGAGCTGTAGGGAGTTTCTGGCCATGGTAGTTAGCTGATATCTGATTTCAACATATAGCATCTAAAAAGCTAACAATAATAAAATCTTATGAACATTAAATTCTATAATATTCAAGTTGGAAAGTTAGTGAATAATATTACCAAATTATTATCTGCTGAGCATATTTATATATATTTCTAATCCTTAAGACACCCTGTGAATAGATTCTACCTATCTTTCACCAAGGAAGAACTGAAGTTCAGAGGTTAATTTGTTCTTGGATTCAAGCTCTTTAACAGCTATGAGAACTAACTTCAAGCACTGTCTTGCTGTTTTACTTTGTAACACAATCACTCAGCAAAATGCTCAATTTTTAAAAATTCTACATGTGATGAAATTTTGTCTATTCTAGCTATTTAAACATTAAAAAAAAACAATACTTTTATCATTAGTCACCATAACCCAAACAATGTGAAATAATTTGCAGAGAAATTCTATACTAAATCAATAAAAGTAACTTATATAACATGTGTTTAATGTGGAATTTTACCTTTAGTCAGGGCACTAGGTTCCTGTTGCCCTAAATACAAAGCTGACTGTGTCTAAACACAAAAGAACCCTGGATTCAAAAGCAGTGAACACATACTGATGAGCACACATCGCCACAAGGAAAGGATTTATTCTTCAGTTTTAAAAAAAAGACTGACTTTAGAGTGAAAGGTACCCAGGAGCTGCAATTCTCTTAGAAGACCACTTTCATGTTTTCCTTTAATACCTGTAAATGTATAATTGAAGCTTAATGCATGCTTTCAAATAACAGCAGCATGATATGCTTATCAGTCTAAAATGATAGCACATTTCAGAGTCTGTATTATTATCTCACTACTAACTAGGTAGGGCCCAGCATGGTGAGAACAGAAAGAAATCCTCTAAGAAGTTACCACATAGAGTCATTTCTCCAGAGGTGGTACAGCATGTACCACAGCCCAAACTAGATCCGTATGTTCCATCAAGTCGTTTTCCGGCACTTTGAAAGTGAGAAAAGGTCAGGACCTCTTGACCAGCACTGCAGAGAATCCAGGAGTGATTCTGAAATTAGTACAGACTCAGCTCTGCAGGGCAAATGAATCTAGCAGAACAGAAGAGCAGGCCGCATGCATCACGCAATCTTCAGATTCTTCCCTACCTTCTGATATCACTGACATTTGACACTCTTAAGAGCCCTAAATTTGGCTGGGTACTGTGACAAAAGTATACCACTTGGCTACCATTTAAAACTTTTATGCCGTGAGAATCAATTGTTGGCACAGTAGCTGACATGATAAATCCACCTTGCTTTCCAATCCTGATTAAATACCAATATAAAACTATTTTTAATCACTAATTTAGTAGACATCTTCCATGTAATTGTAATACTTAAACCCACAGCCTCACAAAACCTCTTCCCCCATTTTAAGCTTCAACGATAGGGAGAAACCAGGGAAGGGACACAAGGCATTTCTCAACCATGACATGAAGCATGCAGAAAAACTTAGGAGAGGGGCTGGAGAGATGGCTCAGTGGTCTAAAGCACCTACTTAGAACAAGTTCAGCGAAGCACAGGGACCACGGTTCAATCCCCCAGCACCACATGCCAGCCAGCCCGCCCCCTGGTGGGCTGAGCTGGCCACACA